TAAATTCAGGCATGGTGTACACGAGTTAGATTTGGCTGGTGAGAAGCTTTCAGCAGACTCTGCAGCTGCTGAAAATTTTATTGAAAAATTTAAAACTGCATCAGAATCCTATGATCCGGAGTTTGTTTATAATGCCGATGAAACTGGCCTTGTTTTCAAAGCATTACCAAAAACCACTTTGGCTTCTAAAAGGGAATCTTGTGCCCCTGGACATAAGGTCAGTAAAGAACGTGTTACAGTGCTTAACTGTGCCAACTCCACTGGAAATCATAAACTGCCACTTCTTTTGATAGAAGAGCATTTAAAAACGTAAAAAAACTTCCACTCGTCTACAAAAGTCAACCCAAGGCCTGGATGACTGCAGGTTTGTTTACCGAATGGTATGATAAAGTGTTTATTCCTGAAGTGAAAAAGCACCAAAAATCGGTGGGAAAAGAAGGCAGTAAGGTGCTTTTAATTGTTGATAACGCACCCACTCATCCTACAGCAGAACTCTTGGAAAGAGAGAATGGGCAGTTTTTGCCTCCCTGTTATTGAAACAATGAAGCGCCATTACAGAAGGCAACTGCTCAGAAAACTGCTGATCGAAGGTGCTGAAGATGAAGAATTGGTTTTGCCAAATCATAGCAAAATAAATTTAAAGGACTGCTGTTACATGGTAGCGGAAGCTTGGAGTTTGGTTACGCCGGAGACGCTAAGGCGTGCGTGGAATAAACTGAAAGGCCTACCGTCTGAGAAGAACAAAAAAAAGGAGAGGATGATGATGATGAAAATGCGTTGTCACTAGAGGAAATGATAAAAAAGTGATTGTAAAAGTTCCTGGTTGTACAGAAGTAAGTGCTGAAGATGTAGGAGAGTGGATGGCTTGTGACACGTCTGACCCTGGTTTTCAAATTCTCAATGACGATGAAATTGTTGTAAGTGTGAGAGAAGATGTTGAGTGGAAGTGGAAGAAGAACTTTCGCCTGATGTTGAAGTAGACGCTGGACCAGCAGCTAGTGAAGCCTTTGCCGGCCTCGAGACTGCTTTGAAGTGGATGGAGTGTGACCACTTGCAACGGCTCACCGTCGCGAATGTGTGACCTGGCTGCCCGAAAACGGTTGAAGACGCAAAACAGCTTACATTGACGGAGATGTTTAAAAAACAATGATTTTTATTTCTGAACTTGTACATAAGTACATTTTATTTATATTTAAAACATGTGAAAATTTCATGTTTCTTTCATTTAATTCAATCAAAAAATAGTGCAATATSAAAACGTAGCTTTTATTCTCTCCAATGGCAATTTAAAAAAAAAATCCGATTATCCGAATATTTCATTATCCGAATGGGTCCCGGTCCCCATTAATTCGGATAATTGGAGTTCTACTGTATTAACTTCTACCACTCATATATGCATTCAATTTAATTTCCATTATCACACATAATTCAACATAAATCATTCAACATAATTTTGAAATACACACAATTTAAGCATTATTCGTACATTTGCTGAATATAATACCATTTACTTGAAATGGAATAAATGAATTCGTACAAAAAATCTTTGCTAGATATCTACTTGCATAAAATCATTCATTC